TTGTTAACCATCCAGAAGACAAGCTTATTGTTATTATCAAACGATTTACGTTATCAAGCTTAACCTCACTATTTCATTACATTTCAAATATCTTAGGCATAATAAGGAACAGGTATTTTTCATCAAGTATTGATATGTTGAACTTTAAGTCCCTACAAAATATGATAAAGAACATTTAAAAATTAGATTATATTTTAACAATAGGATAAAGAATTCTGTGCTTCTCATGTTTGCACATAAGTCCAAAAAGTGGAATAAGTTGTTTTTTTTTTCTTTTTTTTTTTTTTCTCTAAATGCCCTAAGGGGTGGTTTGGCTGGCTGGTGTTTTGTGGGGATCGAACTACAGCAACCTGAGGCTGACAGCTTTGTGGAAGCAGCCACTTAAACAAGTGAGCTAAGGCCAGGCCCCCCTTGGTTTAAATTTAATTATTAGCCACAGTTAGATCCATTCAATTCTACTTGGGGGTTTTAGAAGGAAAAACTAAAGAGAAGACCATGACAGGGCAAATAGGGATCACTATAGCGATCTTTTCCACGCACAGGGAGCTGAGCAGTTTGCGGGCAGCTGGTGGCCTGTGTCCAGCTCAGACTATCCAGGCTCTCTCCGAGTCAGAGAGAAGCCCTCCTGCCCAGCCTGATCTCAGGGCCATGTGCCACCTGCTGGAGTCTCTGGTTAGAGGACTCTGGTGTATGTCTGAGATGTTCTGGCTGGCCCCGCCTTCTTCCAGATGACCTCAGTGTCCCTTGGTAGGAGCTGTGGACAGAGAACTGAGGGGCAGCCACCCTGCTTACTTTCAGTTACTACCAGCGTATTCTTCTTCCATCTCGGATAATGGTGTATAGTCTTGTATTCCCACAAATTAATATGGAAAGATCAAGGCCTAAGATGTGAAGAGAAAGTCCCCTCATCTCTTTCCCTCTCCTTCTGGGACACCTGGCAGGAGCCTCTAGGCCCAGCACTTAGAAAGTCTCTGTGTCCCCACAGTGTGTCTCTGGCCTCAGTTACTCACACACCCAACACCCGACAGTAGCTGTGATCCTCTCGGCCCCGCGTCCCCCCTCCCAAGTCAGTTCCTCAAACCTCTGGCTCTCTCCTGCTCTGGGGCTTGCTCTTCTCCCAGTGCTCCAGAAGGAGGTGAAGAGAGGGTGCGGAGAGCCCAGCGTACTCCTGAGGAAGACACCCAAGCTTCTTGCAGCTTAGATTTATTCTTCTTGTCGTTATTCTGCCGTTTGTGGCCTCCACGATACCCTGAAACAGTAATTATGGTCTCACAACCCTCCTCACTGTCCATCTTATAGCAGCAAAGAACCAACGTAACAAAGAAATTCTTATCCCCAGGCTGGTTCTGAGCTGAGAGTGCTCAGGAAGGAGCAGAATCATTTGGTGACAGAGTTTTCAGTGTCTCCTTGACCCTTCCAGGTCAAAGGCAATACTTTAGATAGAACCATTGCTGCGTCAGTCACTGAAACCCTAACCTACAGGCATCTTCCAGCACTGGTCTCTCTCCACCCACCCTTTGATGTGTGAGGGTTTGTTCACACCTGTGTTTCCTGAGCCTGTAGCTTCTCCCTTTCCAAGCACTGGGCATGCATTTCATCTTTCTCTGCCATGAGATCTTTTTTTGTTTCTCTTCCAAGGAACTCAAGACATTTGCTTTTGGGGCTAGGGAGATAGCTCAGTGGTCTAAGTACCTGCCTGGTAAGTACAAGGACCTGGGTTTGATCCCTGGTACCACATGTAGTGCCGGCCAACCAAAACAGGGCGTAGTGTTGCGTGCATGTAATCCCAGCGCTGAGGAGGCTTAAGACAAGAATATAACTACAAGTCTAGTTGGTGAGACCTGTACCAAATAAATAAATAAATAGTTTTTTTTAAAAAAAAAGATATTTGTTTTTGTGTCCTCTGTGGTGTACAAGCTACACCATTCTTTATTTTAGCTTAGAATGATGTCCAAACCTTGATTAGCTTGCTGCTTACTGTTGGTCCTGTAGAGCATTGGAGATGACCTCTGAAAACCACAACCAAACCATCCAGGGTGTTGATCCTGAATCAGGCACTCAGAAAGACCCCTGTCTCTTCTCCCAAGGAAGGGATGTGTCAGGCAGCCTCTGTCTGAGAAAGCTTGGGTTGCTGTGTATTTTGAAAGATGTATCTGTTGCTCATGCCCAGCAAAGTGTGAGATACACAGAGGACAGCATGGCCAAACTGGGCAGCCTCCCAGCTGCAGGTCAGGGTTTCTTCGTGGCTGTTGGGAAGCATTGTGAATTCACAGAGCATCAGAAAGACATGTTCTAATTTAAGTACCAAAATACATTCCAAAGGCAAATATAACTTTTTATTATCTTTGGCTTAGGATGATTTGTCACTGTCTTCTCCTTTGGCCAGATAACCAAGAGTTGACATATTTAAATCAGGACCTTGGGAGGTCATCTGGTCCACCTCTTGCCTTCCAATAAGGCCACACCTAGAGTACTTGGAAGCTCTATGTACTAGTAAGAGCCATCGCAGCGAATGTGTGTGATAATTTTGCTCCCCGTAGCAGTGGTTTGCTGTGTCAAGCCAGCTTGGCTAATCCAGATCCTTTATATTAGAGTTTAATCAGCCATTTATTTTAGCTTTTGCTTTGCTGTTGCCTTAGAAGCAAAGCATGTGGTCACCATCCTTTCAAATCCATACAGCTAGGATCACTGCCCTGCCTTCATCCCACATGGGCTTCTGTCAACAGTTCAGATTTCACTCATAGTCTGTTTCATCCACCCTATGTCCATATTTAACTCTATTTCCTTCTCTGTTTGATTTGTAGACTCTCTGTTTAAGAATCATGTAGCAGGAGTTGAAATTTTTAAAAAT